GATTATCCATTTTTGGAGTCCACCGCATGAGTTTGCCAAAGTGGAGAACTGGAAATTCTCCCATGTGTAATGAATAATTCTCTCTTTTCCAATTACAGTGTTTAATTTTGTATGGTTTTTGTAAGTGTTGAGCTACTTTAGATATAATAAAAATAAATAAACCAAGACTGAATGGTAATCTCTCCTCCGAGTAGGGTAAGAGATTTGAGTTGTAGATATACGAATATTATTAATAATGAAACAAGAGACAATAATATTTAATTATGCAATTTAAAATAAAAATAATAGAAAGATCTTTCCTTTCCTATTCATTCCTTGTGAAATTTTTATGGATACTTATAGTTTATAAATTAAAGATTGAGAATAATGCTGTAATTTAAAAAAAAAATAATTAATTTAAAAGAAGATGAATAAATTTGTTGCCTTCAAAATCTTCCTTTTCGATCGCATGGCAAATAAGATTACAAAGCGTGCCTCTCACTTTGCTCAAAGTGAGAAAGAGGGATTCCCAGTGACCTTCATTACTTCAAAGCGTGGAACTTGACTATGCATTGATGGAAAAACACCAGCTAAATAAATCATGAGATGCGCTTTGGTCAAACGATTGTTGTAGAAATGGAAGTACATTCTTGCATAACTGCATAAAGGCCCATGTTCACTGTGATGGAAGTCCTGTTTGATCGATCTTTTGCTTCTACAGTAGTTAATTCCGCATTGGCAACTAATCGATTCTTTATTAGTTTCTTGCCAACAAGTGATATAAAGAATGAAAATCACTCGATTAGCTTTATTGCGAGGCAGCCTTTGGGTTATAGAGCATCCTGGCCTCTCTTTTCTCTATCCCACCATCTTGTTGTACGGTGGCTAGCAAAGCAGATATATCCCAGAATGCTTTTTGATAGATATACGCTGCTTGGAGATGATATGGTAATCTTCGGTTGTCGTGGAAGAGTAGTAGGGACTTCTCACAACTAAAGCCAAAATGTTAGTTTGCTGATCAAAATAAAAGAGAAAAACAAAGGAAAAAAAGAAAAAAGAGAGTGCATGGCAAGAAAACTAAATTGTAGAAAAGAAGCGTGATGCCGCCGCGAAAGCATGAAAATGAAGAAAACGAAATAAAAACTGAAGTATAAAACTAAATTTAAAAGAAATTAAGAATATGAATTTTGGGCAAAAGTGCAATAAATTGAATTGCAAAAAGCTAAATACATTAAGTGGAGATGTTCACAACGAAATAACAAAAACTAAAGTTAAAACTAATGGTAGCGTAAAACTAAAGACTTAACTAGGAAAGCTGTTTAAGAAAGTTGAATCTGTTGACGACTACCTAAAATTTCAAAATAATGAAAAATTAAGTGTAAAAATATAAAAAAAAGAGAGTCGTCATCCGTCCAAATTATAAAGTGGGACAAGTCACCTAAAACGGGTCTGCGTTGAGATCGAAGTTCGGGAGTTCAGTTAAGAGTGAGGAAGGGCATACGCGCACTTCACAATCCTCTATTTAAACACGGTTGCATAGTTTAACATTGAGGAGTTTTAATTCCAGTTATTCATTATGTTTATATTTGGGTCTTAATAAACAAGCTTGAAAAAGAGATAAACCAAATTGCAACATTTTTAACCTTTTGGACTAAAATGGACAAAATCAAAGACATGCATGCACAATGAACACAAGTAAAAATTAAAGGGTCTAGTTTGATTAAATTCAAAAACATGAAGGATTGATTTGACTAAATTCAAAAACATGGGGGATTGATTTAAAAAGAGTTGAGGCCTATGGACTAAATCACTTAATTATAAAACTCTTGGGTGAAATTGAAATGAAGAAAGGTAATTTTGACTTTAACTAATATTAAAGGAAATTAAAGATTTAAATTAATTAATTATGATGATTAACTTAATTAAATGATTAATTTCACATTAATTAAAATTAATTAAAATTAATTAATCACATTATTAATCTTTAATCAAGATAATTAAATATTTATCTTAAATTAAGACTAATAAACATGATTAAGTTATTTTAATTAAAATTAATTAATTTTATTAATCATAAGTTGGTCAATTACCTTAATTAATTAATTAATTAATTTTATTTATATTATATATTTTTTTACCTTTTTACCCTTTTTTAGTTTTTTTTACACAAACTTACTGGATCGGGTCGGATTGACCTGACCCAAAAACATGGCCCGAGTACAGAAAATAGACACAAAGCAGATTAAACATGCAAACACAACAAGAAAACTGAGGTTCATCTAATTTCAAACGGATTTCTACAGAATATACA